CATTTTTCAGTTACACGGATTTTTTGATAACCTGAGGGGATATATTCTTCCCCGATTTATACGTTGGTTGTGACAGAAAATTGGAGAAAAACTTTATGCAACAGGACATACTTGCTAATCACAGATTCACTTTGACTTTTACGTAATAATTCCGAGCGATGGACAATCGGAACGATTTTTGATGTGAAGTTAAGCCCATCATTTCGTACTGTTTTTCCTCGGGTCCTGACCTTTTGAACAATTAGAAATGTAATGAGAAATGAATGTCGTGGTAATTGTGGTTGAAGCTTTTCCACGTTCAGTCTGCGGAAACGTTTAAAAACATCGTAATTACGTTACGCATGGCTTTTTACTTGACTATGCGCGGTAACAAAGGCGTATGAATGTATGTTGCATCAATCTGAAACGTTTGCGGTTGTGATCGTGTGAATACTGTAGACTGCCTCCACATCGAGACATTTTTAACGTCAAATCGAAATGTCTTTATTTGAATGGGAATTATGCTCTATTTAACCCGAAAATAATATTAATCTCAAGTGAAATTGTGAATGATTCAATTTTCATCAACAGATCAACAATCAAGTAATCGATAAATGAGTAGATGTGCAAATTGATTCGTGAAATGTGCGATTGTGGAATTTCGTAGCCAAATATTAGCGATAAAAATGGGATGTCACATAGTCGTATTAATTTGTTCGTTCAAAATTCAGGATGCATTAAAAGATCGAGGAAAACAAAAGAATTATCTTCCAGAAGTAAGTAATATTACGCAAACATGGCGGTTTTTTAATGTTGTAATTCAGGGAGATGAATTTGCTTTTTAATTAAAAATTGCAAATATTCTTTGTACGAAATGAGACGTGTTGAATTTTTTTTAGTACACAAATCTTCACAGATTAATCTTAATGGCCGAAATCATCCATGCGATAAATTAATCGATTTTCTCCCAGACAACAAGAGACATCGATTTGCGAGTACTCGTGCAATACTATCCGTTGTCAGTACTATGGCATATTTTCCCTTCCATGGCGCATGAGAAAGCGGGTCGCGGTTTTGTTCGTCGAGGGCGTTCCGCAGGGTCGCACGACCAATCCGGGACCCGCCACCTTCCCGTCGGCGCTGCCGCAGCCGCAGAACGGCGGCGCTATCTCGGGCGCGGATGCCGACTCGACAGCCCGCTACCATTATCGTTCGTTTCGAATCGTAATGTTCCTTTTACGGCCGTTGATAATATATAATTATAATATGTAAATGAGCGGAACGGAAATCCTGTCCCGCGCGGCAACGTCGACGGCGGTAGCGGCGGCGGCGGCGGCGGTGGCAACGTCTCTGCATGCCGGCGGAACCGTTCATTGTTCTGCCCCCACGCTCGCACGGCCGCCCGCTCCGCCTCACCTGGGAAGCAGACGCCGAGGAATGACATATACGAGCGCCGGGAAAAAGATTCTAAGAACTTCCTTAATGACCTATATTGCATTACGTCGCTGTAAAAGGCACTTTCTCAGAAGTCATAAGGCCTGCCGTAGAGAATTACGACCTCAATTTCAACATTATGTTGTATAGAAGACGCCGGGAAAAAATATTGTTAATTAGTTTAGGCGCAGTTTGTGTATTTCACGTCGCCGTGCGCGCGGTGGCCGAGTTACGTAGCCCTCTGGCTTCCGCTGCGGCGGAGGCGGCGCTGCCGGCGGCGGTTGCCCCAGGGCGCCGCGCCCTCCGTCCTCTCGCCGTCTCGCCCTCCACTGTGTTTTTGCTCTGCGCGGTCTTTGTTCGCCTCGACTCTTTTCAAAGATGTTCCGACATTCTGACCTTCACATTAGACTTCATTCATATACGTCGTCGTGTGTTACGCGTTGGTTCACTTCCGTCTCTACCTTCTTCGCTGTACTCACTGTGTTTATTCTTGCGCCGTTGTTCTCTTTTCCCGCACTGCGCGAGTTGAGTAAAAGTCATTTCCTTATGTAGATCACGTATGTCCGTTCTTAATTTTCGACAGCCTGTCCAAAACTGGACTGACGGTCATTTGGGCTTGTGTTCGCGTTGGCTGTCGAAAATATAAAAACAGGACGTAGGTGATCTGTATAATAAAAGAAAGGCAGCGATAGTGTGTAAACAAATTAATATCTCTCGAATAATTCCCAATTTAACGAAATGTTCCTACTACTTGTACCTTTACTTCTACCACTATTACGAAAGCTACCTCTATAATTCTAAAAAAAAAAATTGAAATTCTGTTTGATTTGAAAGCTTGTTAAATGATACCCTTTAAAGAGGGACTTGGAGAAGTTGCATTTTTGTCTGTTCCCTTATAGAATAACATTTATATAATAACATCGATGTAAAGGTAAACAAATTATGGGGCACCATAATTTCGCGTCAAATCGACGCCCTCCTCAATTCACGAGTCTGTCCCGACCCGCTGATCAACTGATGAACGAAGGCCCGAATCCTTAGGTTGTTCCACGGGCGCCTGTGTTGTGCATTTCGCGTTCGTTGCGGGCGTGACCTTCCGAGAGGCTCGTGCGCGAAGAGTGGGAGGGGGGGGCTGCGTGCGGCCGGAGCCCGCGCCGTGCGTTTCGTGGGCGCGCGCGCGCGCTCGTCGCGTGTGTGGGGAGGGGGGGGCGGCCAGAGGTCAGCCGCGCAGCGCGCGCCCCGCTGCCTGCCCTCTGTGTTTACCACGCCTGGCGTGCATTTTAAATATGAATAATTTTAATTAAACGTAATTGAAAATACATTATTAACATCTATTATAAGCGAAAAATGGTTAATTTAAAACCCTACATTTAAATCGAGTTTGTGTTTAATTTATGAAACAATATTCCTGATTAAAAAATGAAGACGCGATGGTTCATGGCTCTCGCCAAATGACGCTCGAACGCGCGTGCACGTTTGTTGTTCCCACAATGTTTCCGCCGCGCTCGCCGCCATATTCTTTTTCGCTTTTCCCTCGAAACATAATTTCATACGTTGATAATGCGACGCGACTAGGTTTAATTAAAGATGAGAATCTTTCCTTACCGAAAAGTGGTCAAATGGAACGTTTCAACATTGTATGAACATTTTATGTATTTTTTGTGGTGTATTTTTTGAGATGACTACGTCCCTGAGAAGATTCAGCAATACTGGTGTGAAGTATTTTTAAAGAAATATTGTATATTTTATTTTTATCGAAAGTGTTCACAATACAAATTGTTTCTTGCGGGAATGCAAAAAAAAAACCAAAGTAGTAAACGTGTTTTCAACGTCCGCGTGTAGAAATAAATAATTTGATTTGTAGTTGTAATAAATATTTACCGCGTCTAGTAGAAGTCTGGTATCACAGGTTTCAGCCATCGAAAAACAGACTTCTCCCATTTTGTTTCCCCGTTTCGCACTGCGATCGCCTCAAACTTTGAAGAGTGCGGCGTCACTCCGTGCCGCCGCGTTAGATTGAACTGTCGTTGTCCCTTTGAAAGGGCGCCCGGCCGCGCTCGCGCTGTGTACCTCGGTGGCAGTGAGGAGCGAAGGTTGCGTGGGCGGGGCGCCCGCCCCTCGGAGGCGTCGACGCTCGCTTCCTCGAGGGGCGATGGGAGGGAGGGGGTTACGTTCGATGGGCGATGGTTAACGCCATTTATTTCTCATTAGCGGCCGATATAGGGGCCCCGACTCCTCAGACGTTACCACAGCGCACGCCTTGCCACGAACCCTCCCTGCCCCGTCCCGCATCGCCCCGCCCCCGCCCCCACCCTCGCCTTCGCTCCCGCCCTCAACCGCGCTCTCGCCATCGCGGGCGCCGGCGAGCGCCTACCGAGTGCGTCTCGGGAATTACTAATGGTGCTGTAAATGGCGGTTCCAGATACGGTTCCTCGCAGCGCTGGAGCGGGGCGCGCGCACATTTATATAATAAACAGGGCGCCAAGGCCTCCGGCGTGACGTCAGCGCAGCAGATAACGCGTCCCAGGCGGGCGAGGCCCCCGGGCCAGGCGTGGCGCGGCGTTCGCCCGCGGTTCGAGCCTTGCTCGCACCCCGGAGGATCTCCGGGCGGTGTTTGCTGCGCGCTATCGGATTATCGGGGCGCGCATTTACATGACGTCTTTTATTGAAGCTTTATAGCTTGCAGAGAAACCTTAGTGATGGCCCTGGAAGTGTAGCAATATAAATTATTAGGTATTTTTTGTAACCAGTTTTTTCCCAACATTCAATATTTTCCGAATTTATTTTTCCTTTTCCGTTTTGAACAGATTGAATCACATTTGTAAATTGTTTTCATTTCAATGTATGTTGGTATATTTGCGCTCTCAATAGACATTTTCAATAATTAATTTTGTTTGTTAATTTTTATTTTAAATTTTATTGGAATTCTACAGTTACTTCGTTGTTCAGTTTTAAACCTTCTTGTACGTAATTCCGATTCGCGACTAGGTTCAAGTATTATTTTGTAAGAGTCTGACAGAACTTCATATTACTCGTAGTGACTGCCTAATTGCTACCATCTCTGAAATCTAGCTGGATGTTAATAGAAAAATCAAAGGAATAAACGAAGATGGTATTTTATATAAGTAATATGTAGCTTGGAAACGTTTCTGATCGTTTATTGTTGTTTCAATGATGTTTTGTGAAACTGATAATGCTACGAATGTTCTCGAAATCGCGTCGTTGTAAACCAATACGATTTACGTAGGTGAAGCCGGATGTGTATCCATATTGAATGTGTTCTTCTAGTGAACTGTAAAACTACTCATTACTACTAAAGATTACATGTTCCTTATTTACAAGAAAATCTTGCACGGGGAAAGATGACGAGAATAAATATCTGCAATCTAATACATCCGCTGCAAATATTTGCTCGTAATTTTAGGGACTGTGGTTGTCATTTGTCCTGGAATTTGGAATGAATACAATTCCAAGACTAGAAATTCCGTGAAGTGACGTCTTGATATGTTCATTAAGTGTGGGTCCTCCGTGCTCGCGAGCGTGATTGTGGGCGAATGCCGTGGGGAATCCAGGGCCTCTCAGCAAACATGCACCTTCATATCGCTGTGGCGGAGTGGAAAAGTAAGCTTCTGGGTTTTATATGGTAGTGATAAAAAATATTGCCTCGCCCGCGTGGTTGTAACGCCGCGGTGCTAGCGCCTGCTTCAACGAGTAGGTGCTTCGGCCGTGGCCTCGTTCGTTCGCTGAACTATCGCTGGCTCCAAGGATAGTTTATTTGATCTTCTACTTCGCTTTCATTTGCTAACGAGCTCTCTCCGTTCGCTGTGCGTTGGTTTTCCGAACTTGGCTTAGACACAGTTAATAATTTGACAGCGCATATGTAAATGTATTGCGCGTAGAATTTGTGAACTTTTCTTTCAGCTTCCTAACGTTCTGAGGTCACCTTCCAGTTAGCTTCATGTGATTCATTTAGAAAATAAACTTAACTATTTCGTTTGGGAGGTCTTGAAATTATTGGAGAGGTACACGTTCATAGTACAATGACGACTCCGATCATTATGAAAATATCTTACACGTCGTTAAAGAATGCTTCCTAAAATGGATTGCCCTTTTTGGGACTGATTCTCTTGTTCTTTTTGGAGAACATTCCTTTAGTTGATATATGAGTATTTTCACAATAAGGAAAAAAATGTTTATTAATCTGTTTTTTAGGACCCTTCCACAATGCACATAGTGGTAAGTTTCGTTAAAAGGGATTGAATACAATAAACCCCGTTATTGGGTTTGGCTTATAAAGTTGCTAGCGTTCCGTAACATCAATAAGTTGTATGTATTTGTTGTGTGTCAACGTGTGTATTGTTGTGTGATGTTGGCTTTGCTGGCCCTGCGCTGCGGTGTTGGGCAGGGCGAGCGCGCGCGGGCGCCCTCCCCGCCCTTGAGAACCTCCGGCTGACGGCTCCCTTCTCTGTTGCAGGCCAAACTGCTGGAAAGCTCGCATGCTTGGCTTGGCGCTTCTACCTCGTCTATCGCGGGTAAGTGTACTGGGCTCCTGATGCTGTCGCTGGCGCCGGCGACCGGGTGGCCCGCCTACGTCGCCGCCGCCGCCGCAACCGCCACCACCCCTCCTCAGACCCCGCCCCCGCCCCCGCTCTCCTCGACTCCTGTAGCGGCGGCGCAGCGTGCGGTGTGCTGAGCTGTGAACCCTTTGCCCTCCCACGCTCCCTCTCCATCCTCCGATCTCACTTCCCCCTCTCTTTCTCTCTCCGTCTCTCTCGCTCTGTTTCTCTTTTCTGTTCTACTGTGTTGGGTTGCCGCCGCCTCTTGAGACCTATCCTCGCGGGAGGCAGGAACCGAGTGACGACTCGGCTCGGCTCGGCTCGGCTCGGGAAGCTTCGGCCCTAACCAGAATATATCCAAATTTCACGAAAGCGAAACATCAATTATTCATCTCAATAATTCATCAGAATCTGGAAGTTTAACATCATGTACCCACTCACAAAGTTTCGTTGTAATTTTCTGGAAATGCTCTTTTGAGCAATTTTCGGAAGATATTACTTTACCGGACACGTGCACATAATTGTTCTATTTCCCCTCTTCACTTTAAAATGTTCAGTTTTCAATACTTCAGTACATGTGTTATGCTGTTATAAGCTTCGCTTTGAATAGTTCTACAACACTATACGAGAGAAACCAAGATTAACCACGTCCAACCACCTACTTCACTAGTCTCAGTTTTGTCTCTCCGGTAATATTTTATAGAGCCGAAGTTTGTGAAAATTTGGAATTGATTATAAATGTAGAGCAATGTATTTTTTCTTCATAATTTATTTTCTTTCCCAGATATAAATACGGATAGATTATTCCACAAATATATCGTAAATATTTAGAAATAAATATCGCTGAAGAGATAATCTGCACCCTTTAGAATCGACTGATGACCATAGTTCAAAAAGACGAAAGCCGTCTCTCGTTTCCTGACTCCGCTTTCCGATCTCGGAGCATGCACCTTTTCTCTTCCCTCACTCTGTTTCGCCATTGGTCCCCTTACCTGTGTGAATAACGCCCTCCGCGGCCAGTCTCTCGTCCCGCCGCCGAGGCTCGATCCGGGACGCTCAGAGCTCGTGCGCGCCGTCACGAGCCTTGCATGAATTAGCCTCACTCCGCCGTCTGTGTTGCCTTGCGCTGCATGTGGATGTGGAAAAGAAATGAATAAAAAAAGAAATATTTGTGTACATTGTGTATTGTACGTTGTAAGAGGAGAAAACGTCGTTACGAAAACCGCAGATGTTTTTTGCTCTTTTAAGAGATGAGACATCTGACGGTTCTCGACCTCTCCTCCCCATGCGTTTATGGGTCATGTCTTGCCAAGAGAACGTTCGTCGGGTTCGAATTCCCTGAACACTGTATTCAGTATTTGACTTTTCCATTCATTACTGCATCAATACAATTAAAAAGCAAAGTTGTGATGCAAAAAAGAAAAATGGCAAAAATCTCACACGAAATTCAATCTTCCATGAGCAATAAAGAAAATCTAAGAGTGCAGTCACAAAGAATCCCTTGGTCCTGTCTCACCTCTCGTTCGATGAGACATCTTTCGATCCACCCGAGTGAAGTTGGATTCGTGTTTCGTCAATCCGCCGCCGCGGCGCTCACGTCGTGACCTGCACTCCGCTCGGCTTCTCGGCCGTCTCCTGTGCCGCCTCAACGAAATTCTTTGTCCCTGTTATTTCGGATCTTCTGTTTGTTGTTCCCCAAAGCAATCGTTGAACGTTTCCGTTGTAACTGCCTGTCCAACACGCCTCTGGATCGTTAGCTTGTCACACAGTGAAGAAAACATGGAACAGAAAAAAATTTACGTATGTCTGCGGCAGATGGGTGCTCCTTTCATATCACTTTTTTTTTCTTTGAGTTCTGTGCATATTATTTTTGGAGAGTTTCGAACTTCCGACATACTCCAGACTCGTGCTCAAATGTTGGCAAGTTGTGTGAAGCAGTGTATTCTATTCGAAAGACATGGTGGTAATATTTTGTCCAATTCTAATAACGTATAAAAAATTAAGACCCCATGTTATCAAACTTTAACTTCATACGTGAAAAAGAATAATAATAGTTGTCTCAATACTGCATTTAATGGGCGTTAATTACATTATTAGAACCCCAAGATACAAAACGACACTTCAAAGAAACGAAGTAAATAAAATAAAATGGTTACAGGAGCAGGAGATACAGAAACATTTCTAAAATTTTTAATATTTTTGGAAGAAAAAAGTGATGTAATTCATATTCCATGTATATATTTCATGTTACGAGAACTATCAGAAAAATTCACACATCAATCAGCAGATTTAAGTCCAACGTAAATCTGACAGCATTCAGAAATTTACAACACAAACAATGAAATATATTCTCAAAGGAATATCATCTGTTCGTGTTACTCGAAAGAAGTTTATTAAACTTTTTTTTTCAAATAGTGCATGTGTTATCATGCCTGGTTTAAAAGAAGCTGTCTGCCTTCAAATCCTATATTGTGTATATTCATTATTGGTGAGGAAGTCGATGACTCGGAGTTGAATTAAAGGTCTTTATCATTCAGGTTATTTGCACAAACCAATGTATGATGCCTGCCTTTGCGTTTACTATGCGGAAGAATCTGGCCGTTTGATGAGTCGTGAATCTACGCCACTGGGCCGTCGGCTTTATATTCCGCCGAAGAAGCCCGTCAACGGCCAGGCGCGAACCGATGGATTGGCAGTGCGGAGCGAGCGGAGTGCAGCAGCGAGGCGAGCGGTCGCGCCCGTTGCCCGTTCCGGGCGGGCGATTCCCGCGACGCATGGGGAGGAGCGGCGCGTCCGAGCCGGCGCCCGCGCCAGCGCTCGCCCGCGCCAGCGCTCGCCGCCCAACCGGCCGGCCTCTGTGCGGCTCGGCGCGCGCGGCGCGCTCACCGGGTGCTGCTGGGTTCTTCCTTTCAGAGCCCAAACCGGCGCCCGCTAACGCTCTTCTAGCTATGCCTCTTCTCTGTCCGCGTTCCGGCGGCGGGGGCCAGCGCCGGTGCGCCCGCGGCCGCGCCCTCCGCGCCCTCGCCCTTCCTGCAGCCGAGCGCGTGAAAGCGTTGCAGATGTCGAAGAGCGCGAGTTCACCGCTGGACGCAGGGCGACCTGCTGGCCGCGATCGCTCTGGTGCATCGCGGCACCCATCAAGCCGGCGGCGGAGCGCTGCAACATCCCCGTGATGACGCTGTGGCGGCGCACGCGCGCGCTCGGCGTCGTCTCCAGCCGCGCGGCGGGGCGGCGGCGGCGGCGCGGGCGCGGCGGCCGCGCCGCCGTGGCTGCCGCCGCCGCCCCAGCGGGGAGCGGCGCCGGGACGGACGCGCACGCGCGACCACTGCTTGCGGCAGGCCCGACGCCACCGCCGCCGCCGCAGCCGCCCGCCGAGGAGCGGGCGCGTGGGGGCGGCGGCGACGATGGCGCGGGTGGGTCGGGGAAGGGGAAAACGCCTGTCGGTCACGAGTCCGTGTTGCGGAACGAGCAGGCGTCGTAGGTTGTGGCGGCGGCAGTGGAGAGCTCCATTGGGAGCGATCTCGTGGGCCTCCGGAAATGTTGGCCTAGACATGTCACTGCCATGGAGCAGCATTTCAGTCCAAAATTGCCATTGACGGTATTAAAAATGCAATATTTCATAGAAATGTATTTTGTGTGTGAAGAAAATACTGCATGTCAATAAATGGAAACTGTTAAGAAGGAAGAATTAGAAGTTGATATGTGGAATTTACAAAGGAGAGTGTATAATTACGTAGTATTAGGGAAATGGTAATTTTGGACTTACTTCATTTAAATTTTGTCAGTGAAGAAACAAGACTTCAAAAAACATTATTGTTTCAATTGTATATACCCGGATTTCCCATGAAAGAATAATCGTTGTTAACTTGTGTACTTGGAATTGGTTACTGATTACACACTGTCTTCTAGGAGCGATGGGTCAAAATACTGCTATTGTCGTGGTGTTGCTATTACACGACTCCCCTCCGGATGACCCAAGGTATCCTATGTGCCTCATTTTTGAGAATAATGTGACTTTGCCCACGTAGAAAGAAAATGTAATAAGGATCATTTTCCCGTTGGTTGTTGCTCACCGCCTGTGATTTGCCTGTTCACGTGTGGGAACCCTTACTCTGGGCTTCATGCCCGTCTTCCCTATTCCGCGTGCACCCTGCCTTCTCACTCTCTTTCCTGTCAGTCTGTCTCTTTTTGCTTCTTATGTTGCAAATAATTGTATTGTACAGTAGATGCACTTTCTCCTTTTTTTTGTATGTGTGTGTTTGTGTTCTTGCCCACATCCCTTTATTTTTGTATGCAATAGTAGAATTAGTGTTATGTTTTTGTTTTTGTATTCTTTAGATTGCCCCGCACACCTCCTGAAACTGAAAGCGCCCACCTGGACGCAGGCTCAGCTGAGGGAGGCCATTCAGGCCGTAGTCTCGCAGAAGATGCGATTCACCCAGGCCGCCACGCGCTATGGCATTCCCAAGGGCACACTGTACGATAATATCCTGGGCAAATCAAAGCGCATGGTGGTGCTGGAGGAAGCGGGTCTCACGGCGGCCGAGGAAAGCGCCGTGCTCGAGTTCTGTTGCGAGGTCTCCCTCCAGCCCTACAACCGTAGGACGAAAAAGTCGCTCCGGGCCATTCTGAATTTTGTCGAGAAACTCAAGCGCATCCGAGAGCCGGACTTCTCCTTTTCGGGACTGTCGGGCTTCAGGTGGTGGTGGGCCTTCTGCAAGAAGCACAGCATCGTGTCGTTGTACTTCGACCCCGCCTACGACGAGGAGGCATAGGCTGAGCCCCCCCACCCCACCCCACCCAGGTGCTTCCGACGCGTGGCGAGGCTTGGCGACGAAGAGGCCAATTGGCTTGCGATATCGCGCTTTCGGCTGCTTTCTTACGACAGTTCACGCCTGTTTTCAGTTCTTGATGGCAATGACTCGCACCATAGACCTAGGAGTTCTTACATTAAATAGAAAGCTACATCCTGAGCTTATTTACAGGTTTCAGTAATTGCTAGTTGTTAGCTTATAAGGTGTGCACTTTTACTGCGTATATTGTCATCAAAATAAACAGACAGAATATTTACTTCGTAGATGCGGTGGGGTTTTGGTCTCGCCTTTTGCCAGACTACTATGGTATCTCACATTAATATTATACAAAACGATTCCGTGTGAAGAACAGAACTCTTCTGTTGCAAGACCTGCCATGCATCGGCGGCACCTCACCTCCCTCAGTGCACTTTAATGCCCTCCACAGGGAAGGCAGAGACAACTGGGCGTTGATTTTGGGTCATGCGGGAGTTGTGTTTGACCTGTTGCCTTCTCACATGATCTCATTTTCTTTTAGAAACAAAAATTGGAGGCGACGTGGTGAAACATCCTTTAATACCTCGCATTGAAAATGATACTGGAATAGAGTTCTATTTGGGAATAAGAATGTTATGAGTGTTAAAAAATATTTCAGAGTCGACGTTACTTAAGTCGTGAACTATCATTGTTCGTACATTGCCTGTTGTCTGTGTCTCTCCTTCCCAACTTACCTTTTTTGCAAACGCTTATGTATCTCATAGGAAAATATTCCTTAAACACCTATGCATGTTTTGCCAGCATTTACTTAATTTGATGTTTTTTGTAGTTTTATTGATAATTTTTATTTGAGTTTTATTTTATATATTTGCCTTTACCCCAATATAACCACTCCCGCTTGTGGTTTATATTTGTGTTGAACGCTAACTATAACTAGTGTGTACCAGAACTGACGCAAGTATCGAGCTTGCCGGCAACTTGCCCTTTACGGACCATGTCAATACTCACGCAGCTTGTACTGCTGTAAACACAGAAGATATTGTTGAGACATTAAGTTACTAGTTAAGAGATATTTGGAAATGTTTATTTTTCCTGCAGCACTACTAGATAAAAGAATATTGTGATGTAAATATAATAGTATTGTGGCCCAGGACCGCGCCGAAAGCGTAGAGTGTACGACGTCAAATCGCCTTCTCGTTTTGACTCTTCGGGGGGCCTCCCCCAAATGGTCGTGTTGTGCTTGTTTGTGAGGTGACCAGTCTTCCATGGTCGTGGACGTCTGCGCATTTTCGGTCAGCGGCTGCGGGTCCGAACGCTCGTGTTCCCGCTGCACCCGCGGCGGTCGCTGTGCCACAGAACTGAGTTGCCATATGTTTAAAAACACTGTTTTATTACATACAAGCTTCCTGGTAGAATTTAAAGAGTTTTATTCGATGATAGGTAGTAGTGTGTAAGCGATATGTTTGCCTTATTTAGTATGTAACTTCCCGACGGGACCTAGGTCGACTCTCCTTTTCCTGACCCCTTCGCCGGTTCTTCTCATTCGTCTCTTGATAACGAGGTGCTAATAAATGTAGGGATTGAATGAATACCAGTTACCTAAACGTCACACGAGTTGCAGCTAATTCAAGTCGTAATAAGATGTTAAAATGTTCCTGAACCACATTTCAAAATTCAAACCTATTGACAAGAACTGTTATGGAAGACAAAATCGCTACTTGGTGCAATATTCTTGTTTAAAAAAATCGAAGTTTAATCATATGTTTTTGAAAATTGTTATGTTCGTAAATATTGTAAGGATGTAGTACACTAACTGAACTTCTATAGATTTATTATTTATTGCAATTTTTAAAAAAATCTTTGGGATTGTGTGCTCCATCGTATCGCGTAGTTTATCTCCTGCCTTTTCCATAACAACATATTATTGTAGCTAATTCTTATTATCCGGATATATTATTTGTCATTTCAATTTAAGTTTATTTTGCCAAATTTCTACTCGACTTCATCCGCTTTCCATCGCAAATGACAAACCGTTTTAGGAGGCTCTGTCATGAATGAGATGACCTATGCCACTCAGAGATGTATCGCGTCTGTTTCGGCCGCTGTAGTGTGTGTTCGGGGGCCTCGGGAAGCCCGGAGCGTCGGCCTGGGGGCGTCGTCGGGTGCAAAGTGCCATGAGCGAGCGCTCGCGTCCAATCGTCCGTGTCCCTTCCCCTTCCTCTCCCCATACACTCAGATTCCCCGGTCGCCGGCTAATACGAAGGCTCTTGCCCGCCAGAAGGTCGTAATTACACATCTTGTAGCAGACAAGAAGCGTAAGGGTCGTTCGCAAATTGTTGTCGTAAACGATACTTCAGGGTCTATTAGCAAGTCTGATTTGCCTTTTTTGTGAAAGAATTGACAAGGGACTTTCCGCAGTTTTCACCTGCCCTTCATTTATCGTTACATTTACTGACGTGATAGATCTGGATATCTCTAAATCTCATATAGAATTTACCACACTTAGTTTAATTACTTTTTTTTTTTTGTATTGTGGTATTGTGGAACAAGTGATACTGCTATTGTGGAGGCAAACAGTCTTCGTATTGGTGGCCATGATCGTCCTTGCCACTCTCTCGCCCGTTCCTACCTTTCACCAGTCCCCACCTCTCCGCTCTCGCGGAGTGTCTGCGCAACTAACCCTCTCTAGCCCACTGAGCGTTGTGTGTTGTCCATGACATGTTCGACAGCCAGTGCTTGACGTGTATGTGGATGCGGAACGGTTGTAAGGTGATTTTGTGTGTGCAGGATGTAGGTTCCTTCTACAAAGCTTTTATATAGTATTTTATGACAATTTTTATACAATGTTTTTTGTTTGTTTTTTTGTTTCAAGCGCAAGTAGTGCTTGATGAAATTCCACTTTAGTTACTTATTAGTTTATAGTTAACGCGACATTTATTGAGTGTAGAGTAATTGCGGCAGATTTTTCTGCCTGATCGTGCTTTGAGTGCCATATATGACCGGCATAGTTGGTTACCATCTTGTGCACTGCCACAGGAAATGACTGCCGGTGATGATGAAACGTAAGTCTGAAGTAACATTATCAAAGAATATTTCTTTGAAATTCGCTAGGTTTTGTGTTGATGCGCGCGTGTTGGTTCATGCGTACTGTATTCTAAAGAAATGTTGCGTAGTCGTATGTATTGATTTCTGATGTGCCAAAATGCAAGTATTTGTTATTGATGCGTACTTTATTTACGCGTCTAGAAGCCTTAAATTCTTTTGTACTGTTTTGCGTTATTAGTTAGTAAAATTCTGAGTTAATTTATATAATTGTTCAATTAATTAGTGTGAAGGTGTGACGATGAACAATGCACTCAACGCTTCTTAGTGGTACTGATACCTATGTAATGTCTGTTTTTAGGCAACTTTGATTTTCTTAAGATGTTTGCGATTTCGTTCCGAAAGACCTATTTCACACCAAGCACTGGCAGAAGCTAGATTCAGCTATAGTTCTTCCACAAGTAGCTAGATCAGATTGTATTAGATTATTTGTATCCTGTTTAGTCCATTCCAAAGTTACTGTTTCTTGTCTGATTTTTATATGCCTTTTGTGAGATGAGTTACGTTTAGAAAAATAAAAACTGTTGAGAGAATAATTCTACTTGCGTTCTTGCTTTCCTCTTACACCGTGGTTGTAAACGTGCTGAAACACGTTTCGTTTCAACACGATTCCAGCCAATGTACGCCTCTTCTGTAATGCACCGGCCCCACGGCTCTCCCCATTCGCCGCAGAATTCCTTCTCTGCTTCTTCTATTGGATTGCCTTTACATGTTCTGACAACGATCACTCAGGATGAGGTGAAAGAACATTGAACATGTGTAGGAGGAAAAAAGACGGGGTGACATTTTGCCTACTCCGTGAATGACACAAGAATTATTACAAACATACTTCTTGATAGTTATTTCGTATGTCATTTTTGTAAACTGTCAGGCTAGTTTAATTTTATGGTCATAATTGGCAAAACGAAAGTCACAAAATTACTGCAATTCCACTACTATTGCCAAAAATGATTTTGCACTCGGAAACCCAGTGCCTGGCACCTCATTGGAACTCGAATCCGCGGAGACGCCGCGCGTCTGGTGCACGGGGCTCTCGCGAAGGCGGCTGCACATTTGCCAGGAAGCGGAAGAGATATGCTTCGAACCCGTACGCACGTTCTCAAGGCTCGAAAGGAAGAAGCGCCCTTTTAAACACGAAAACTATATCAAATTCCGTTGAAAAAGAGTGTTTTTGTGGCAGACGGCGTTCTTGGCATCACATGCCGGTTAACGAATACGTATATTTTCACTCATCGTTTTTGTAGCGTTCCTCGACCCTGAGGTCCTGAAAATTTCCGTGGGCGTCCACAGCAGTTCGCGTTAGTTCCTGCCTGGTCGTGCAACCGCCTTCAGCGTAAGTTCCTTCCATGTGTAACTTAGTGTAAGCTCTTGGAGTTCCATCACCTGTAGTCCCGCCGGTCGGCGGGGTGAGTAGCCACGGGGAAGGCCGATATGCCAACTGCTCGTCGCATCGGTGGACGCTGTACCGGTTTGTCTCGAACTTGTAATTCGAATCTGTAAATATTATGTAAATATTACATTCACATATCCACCTTATGTTTCGGTTCATGTTCCGCCTCCTTTTTCCATCTTCCGTCATCCCAACAAAATTTGATGACTGTGTTAGTGTATGTATGGAGGGTGGGATACAGAGAGGTGCAGAGTTCAGTCGGTTTACCTTCCTTTGAGAACACGTACACTGTGAAAGAGCACACCATTGCGCTGAACTCTAAAACCGACCACCTCTTTGTATCCACATCCCTCGCCCACCATCTCGCGTGTCCCCGAGGGTCTTTACTGACGCACGACTTTTTTTTGCTGCCGTCTTCCAGCAGACAGCTACCAGTACCAGCTGCAGTCCATGTGGCAGAAGTGCTGGAACACCAACCAGAGCTTGGTGCACAATCTTCGCTTCCGTGAGCGCGGCCCCCTGAAGTCGTGGCGCCCGGAGACCATGGCCGAGGCCATCTTCTCCGTGCTCAAGGAGGGGCTGTCGCTGTCCCAGGCGGCGCGCAAGTACGACATTCCCTACCCCACCTTCGTGCTGTACGCCAACCGCGTGCACAACATGCTGGGCCCTTCAGTGGACGGAGGAGCTGGTGAGTACTTTCTTTTTCTCTTTTGCAACGCGAATTTTGAATACCTAAAAGTAACATAAAGTGGCCTATAAATAATAAAATAGTAAATATAACTATAAAATAAGGAAATAATTACTACAAAATAAGAAAATATTTAACAATTTTAAAAAATGTAAAATAACTATTTCTCAGTGAATATTGTGTTGAGTGGACCATATGTAGCATTTTACTACACTGTACCTTTGTTATTGAATATCGATTTAGAAATACAATAATCCTATATCCGAAAGAAAGTAAGTACAATAAGTCGTTCTCGTCAATATTCTAGAAATGGTATTTCACTCCTTTGATGTATACGGAATATGACAACCAAAATAAATTACTGGTGTTGACCTAATGGTGCCTAATAACTTGTTACTAGTCACAGAGGTCATAATGATCGCTGGTGTATGGAAAATGGGAGGGTGTTTAATATGTTAATCATTCTGTGGGAAAAGAAAATTCTCTACAGAAATGCATAATATAATTGTATAATCTAAATAATACATATAGTTTTCATTCAACTTAGTGGTTCCTTATGTTACATACATTGCTTAGCAATTATGTGTCTTCAAATTTGTGTTCAAAGATTATATATAAAACAGCGTGTCTCTGTATTTTAGGAAAGTAATTCTGTATGTAAGAATCAACATCATATTTCCCACTCTTCAAACGATTGGAAATTGTAATTATGTGTACAATACGATTATTCAAAAAATGTATTTCGCTGTCAGGTTCATTGGGTTAATTGGAATAAGACTTGTTAATTTTACTATATTAACATTCTATTTATTACGCATTTAATGATGCTAAATTTTAGATTCAGTGATTGAGTCGCCTGTTGCGTAGTTTACAATTAACCATAAAAGTTCATACCTAATTTATTTTGAGAACGTATACTAACATTTCTTTAAACGTGTGTATTGTTATTGAAATCATCCGTATGTAGATGAAAGGCAGATACTTTGGTGCTATTATTAAAATATGACACTACGCTATTTGCATAGAGTGCCTGTGACGGCGTATTACGAAACAGGATCTAATTCCTGTTCATGAGTTCTCACGTTCGCAATTCGTGGGATTGTCGCTTGAGAGAACTGCTAAACTGAAAAGCTATTGGTCGGGGAAGCTTGAGTTCCCATTTAATACTTCACACATTTCAAAGTGATTTATTTTAAACGTACATTCGAGCAGTGAGCGTATTCGATTTTAAAAGATTCCGTTGCAATTGTTGGGACTCAAAAAAGCGCTCCGCCGTGTTCATTAACAACCCTCCCGCGCGTTGGCCATCTGATTGCTCTGGGAGTCTCGTCTGACATATAACAAATCGGACTTCGGATATTTTGTAGAAATAATAAATAATACGAGTGAAATTTCGTCACTAAAGCAAATTAGGTAATCACGCTTCCTCTCATGGTAGTCCGGAATTTTTTTGTGTACGTTTCGAGTTTCAAATTTACATGCAGGTATAAACGCAACTCGCCAAATCCTCATTGGTCGGTGCATCTAATTGACGGAAATATAATGCAACATATTTATGGAATTTTTTTTCGAGGACCATTTAAAAGCAGTGTTACAGCCGATGAGTGACATGTGTATATGTGCACCACTGGTATTTCATCGTAATATAATTGGTGAAGAGCATTGGTTATTATTCTTCATATTTTATAATAATAATTAGAACAATAATTATTATGATAAAACTGAATTTTTGTTTCTCAATTTGAACTAAATTTTTCATTGTGTATATTCTGGCGTGTTGCCTTTCATGTGTACGAATTGAGAATGAGTATGTTCGAGTCTATTTTTGCATAGAAATAGTATTCTTCTTACCAATTCCGACCAAGAATTCTTTGGTATGATTGTGTACTAATAATACCAGTAATTTTTGTTTTCCTCAAAATGATCGCGATCTACCTTTGCCATTACCAGAGTGTCTCAATATGTAAAATGTTTGCCCTATATGACAGTCGTCACGCGGAATTGTTTGCATACATTTTTGTGTAAAACTTTACAACTGTACTTAACGCTTGCGAATGGAAAAGCTACATCTGTGATGGTGTGCTTATTTAGGTTCGTTAGGCCTAAGATCATATTCTGCGTTCTTGTTTATTAGAACATTGTCGTTATTACATTCTTATGTGTTATACATTCAGTAAGGAATCCAGTGAATAGTTCCTTTTTTACTCAGTGAGACTGTTATTTCATATAGTTTCTAGTATAGGGATTTTCTCTATTTTTCTCTTTCTATAAACATCATAGTCTGTACAAGCTTTTTCCCTGTGTAAGTCGATGCCTTACAAAAACAACTGCCCGGGTATTATCACGTTCTTTTTGCACTCTGGTTTTGGTAGGAATTCTATCGTACAGAACGAGTTACCTTACGCTATTGTGCTACCACTTTCTGATTATTGGTCAATAAAACACTTGCAGTTGCTGTGGCACTAATGATGATTTGTTTGTATGTATTCCTTTAATAGTTGGAAACATATTCCGATCTTTTTTAAATAATATTTTATTTGAGGTGAAGATGCTCTATTGGGTTTTTTAGCTAATCATATTTGTAATGGGAGTCTCTAAATGCATTTTTGTTTCATATCGCTTGGATCTGGATAATTATACACTAAGCTTTATTCAAGTATGTACTATTTAGTGACAAATATGTATCATGAAATATTCCTTTTTTTTATATATAATTAGTTTTTTTTACATTTCTCTGGTCATAAAAATACAAGAATATCATTATACTATTTCATATGTTAGTGCTACTTTCTCAAAACAATCTCCATAACAGCAAGTATGTGTTCCAGATTCTCAGAAGTGATCATAGAATATCATTGTGAATTGATAATTTCCAAAGCAGCACTAATTAATTTGTATGCTACCTAAAACACTTAGTTCCACCACGCACGCCTTTGCTTGACAGGCGATCCCGCGCATGCGCAGTGAGATTTCTGGAAGCCAGGCAGCAGCACTGCGCGTGTATGCGTTCACTAAAATATTGAAATCGTCAAAATTCGTCAAAAGGAACTTTATAAATTGGGACTTAAGAAACTCGTCAAAAAAAATTCAATAGCTGTGCTGAATTTCGAACAATTACAATAAACCAGGAAATACCGTTTTTCAGATTTTTATTATCATCTAATATTTACTTTTCTATGGTTAAGGATGCTCTAGCTAGAGAATCGCGTTGAGGAACTTGTTTTACAAACTTGATTTTTTGGTATTGGTGGTCCAGTCCTCTCAATTTGAAAATGTAGCCTACATTCAAGAATTCTTTTCGGGGGGGGGGGGGAATAGCTGCAACTGCGACCGGAGCTGAGGAAGCGTGTCTTAATTTCAGTGAAGGGGTATCAGTTTGAAGACGGACCTCAGAAGGTGAAGGGAGTAAACAATATCTCGTGATAGAAAAATATTATTTTCTTCTTCCAACTTTCTTTCTGCGTTCTGTTCCCTTTTGTGTGCAATAACTTATTCCCATAGATAAAAGACGTACCGGATGTTATGGATTGCAATAACACCGTGCCATTGGGTTTTGTAGTTCCATGCATATTCATCGAAATACTCATCTCGTTTATTGCGGCTGTCAGTACGTGAGATACTGTATATTCTCAGGTGTCACAATGCTCTTGGGCTTGTAGTGTAAGCCACAATAAACGACGCATACTTGCGGCTATTCCTTAGACAAATCCAACAGCGTATATCGTAATAATAATAATAATAATAATAATAATAATAATAATAATAATAATTGTGAAAAACGTAGGAAAATATGTATCTATTTATGAAATATACCAATTGAAGTCACTGTTTTAAGCACTACTTAGTATGAAACTTTTATCATCATTTGGACTTAACGATACATTTAAACTAGTGGTGTTACAACTACGTACTTTCTCACATCAGTAACTGTTACGAAAATGATAATTTCGCAATATCTGTTCATATTATAATACATCTCAGCCACATGTAAAACTCATTACCAATCGTACCCCATAAGGCGTTAATTCATATAAAGCTAATGCATCGACACTAATTCGATATTCCAAAACTCCCTTACACACGCCCAGAAACTCCGCTCAACAATCTCTCAAGTTATTCTGAAAATTTCAGCTCCGTTTCCACTGTTTTGCAACGTGATAACTCCTGAAAGGTTCTCGCAAGAGAAGTGCAGGAAATTCCAAAATTTGCAAAATAACGCTATACTACTCATATCTTTTTAAAAACTATACATGACCGTTTTTAAAAACTGATTGTTTACAACATGATATATGTAATAAAAATATCGCTATCAATATTGTGATATTGCTATGTTAATTTTCTCAGTTTTCCAAAATACAGAAAGTGCCGACATTGTGACTAGCGCCACATTCTTTGCTCCCTATGAGGAAAAACAATAAAGAAAAACTTTGAAGCCGTTTTTGGAAAATTATTTTTTTATAAATTGTATTAAGATAATAATAATTGTAATAAGATTAATTATAAGATTCAAGCAGAAGTTACGCGAAACCTATCAGGTTTTTTTTAACAAAATCAAGGCAAAATTTTATCTTCAATATTGTACTTTTGCTATGTTTATTTTCGAAAATTGCAAATTGACCACATTTCACGCGAAAAATACTCATATTTTCGAATAATTGTACGTGAACTTATTTCCAGATCTGTCTTTGAACAACAAATTTTATTAAGGAAGAATCTGTCTCAATATTGTAGGTGTATAAAGACGCCGAAAAAATTATGAACTTTTGCAGTTATCGAAAAATTAAGGATTTCCACGAAAAACCCACACCATTTTTAAAACCTTCTTTACACTATTCAAGGACAAAGTTTATTCAAAAGATTTATCCCCTTTTTGGTTACCAGGGCTCGAAAAAACGTTTTCTGACGAAAAATTTCCGTTTTCCCCCGGAGCATTACAATACCTTCTCTACACACCGTAAGCATTTTGGAAAAAAAAGTAAAAATATTATAGTTCCACAGTG